TATATATATATATATATATATATATATATATATATATATATATATATATATATATACATATACATATATATATATATAAAATTATTGTCACCGTGTTTTAAACTGCAATGCAATTGAGGACAAAGATCGGTTGCTCTGGTTAAACTTCATCCAGCTTGCAAGTTAATTTTTGACCATGTCTGATGATGAGCTTTTTTTATTAAAACCAGAGTTCGTGGACAGAGAGGAGAATGTAGAAATGACTCATGAAGACTCATGAATGACATGAAGACTGAACGCATGAAGAGACGCTCAGACAGAAGAATCAATGCTTGTGCTGCTGCTTGTAAATACTAACCTGAAGCGAGAGCTTATATTACTTACAGCTCTGCTTTTCACAACAAGCTGATTGTGATAAGCTTCAGGATGAAAACTTTTTATATTTATTAACCTTTATTTAACCAGGCAAATCCTACTGAGATCACAGACCTTTTTTACAAGAGAGGTCTGAGCCTGAAGGCAGTCCAACATGCATGTTTTTGTACTGTGGGAGGAAACTGTGGGTATCTGGAGAAAACCCACACAAACACGAGAAGAACATGCAAACTCCACTCAGAAAGACCCAGGTCCAAACTAGTGATTGAACCCAGGACTTTCTTGCTGCGAGGCAACAGTGCTAAACATTTAACTATTGCGCTGCTTATTCTCTTTTATAATAGTGTGTTACACTTTAAATAAAATAAAATAATTTAAAGATAATTTTGTCACTTTAAGCATTTTTCCATCCATTATCTGCCACTTGTCCTAATTTGTGTTGCAGGGTGTTATGGCTAATGTAAAGCCAAACTATTCCACCTGGACCACAGAGCAATACACAACACTTAGCACACAACACAGCATCCACACATTAATCACCAGGTGTGCACATGCCTGACAGCAGCCTCATGGATGGAGGATAGCAAAGCTGAATTGTGAAACATGCTCCTCACCTTTAGCATTTTAGATTTTGTGTTAAAACATGTACCACACGTGGTGCGAACGACAATAAAAATCTCTGACTCTGACTCTGAAATCCAGAACTACTGTTTTGGGTTAGCTCCAAAGCTACTAGTGTTAGCCCAAGAGCTAATATAATAAACATCACAAGTTGACCACGTTTAAGCATTTCAACCCATAAACTGTGCATAATGGCATAGAAATTAATAAAAAAAATATAACTTTGTTACACATTATCTTTGACTCCTTGTGTTTTAATATCAACTGTAATCTATTTACACCATTTCCCCAGAATGCATTGCACTGATAAAATAACACCAACATCCTTAAGTGGAAAATGCATTGAACATATACACATTTAAAGTAATTATTCACAACATATTAGGGCCCACATGAGCAGTTACTGATCTTTACAAAGTCATGTGTTAGTGTTGCCCTCATTTGGTTTTCAGTCTCCAGCTAAACTTAAAAAGCTTTTAGTCCTAAATTATTTACCAAACAACTGAAACATGTAAGACACACACCTCCACTCTGCAAATCGTTCTAAAATCCAACAAGCACAAATCTAGATTTTTTTTCCCTTTGATTATAGAGATTTATTCATGATTTAAACATTTTTCACCCAAGTTTTTTGTTGTTGAAATTACAGTTATGTAATGAGATAATATGCGTCTGATATTATCCTTCATTTAAACGGATTCTTTCATTTTTCTGGACTAAGTCATATCATGCTTTGTGGAGTAAATGTGGACAGAGACGCGGTTAAATTTCTGACTCACCAACAACAGTGGGTCGTTTATTTTAAACGATTTAAAAACACATCACACATTTACATTAATTGGCAGATTGATTACAATTAACACAGCTTAATTAATGAGCTTTGCAATGAGAAATCATACGGCCATGATATCTCACTTGCAGCTTTTGAAACAACAGACATTTCTGAAGATATCTGGATTAATTACTGGCAAGATAGAAGTTTAAAGATGGGAAAATGAAGGAGTTTAAATGGAGAGAAAATGGATGAGGGAAAAGTGTGTTGATAACGAACGGCACCCTCCTTTCGACCCAGCTCCCCTCGGTACACTTCGGTAGTGGAAATCAACTCTTTACCTTGCAGAAGATACCTCAGCTTCGGTGTAGAGTTCTCTTTCAACGCTACCATTTCAGCGTCTCCGTAGGATAGCAGAGAAACGTCCGGAGTAGTGACGGTACTTCGTTCAACAGCACGCTCACCTCCCGGGTGGACTCACACGAGCTGTGAGCCCGTCAGAGTTCCACTCAGATGTGGAAGATTCCATAATCCCCACGAGACTCGGAAGAACTCCCACTAACTCCAGCCCTTCAGAACTTTCGTTCAGTTCTGCTCTCAGAACTTCTGTTCTTCCCCAGAACTTTGAACTAGAACTAGGAAGTGTCGACTTTTTAAAGAGTTCGCTTCCGGTCCCTTTTTGGGAAATCCTGATTGGTTGAAAGAACCAACAGGGGTGTGGTTTTAGTGATGTAAGAGGTTACTACAAGTCAGAAAAACAGTGAGATGTTTTTGGAACAGACAGAGAAATGTTTTTGGAACAGACAGAGAAATGTTTAGGCGAGATGACAGACCACAGGTGCCAGCAGTTTCTTATTTCTGTCTGATAGGTTTAAAAACATGACAGTTCGTTCCAATAAACTTGTTTGCGACTGTCTCCAACTTTTGACCGACATCACTCCTTCTCATTTCAGACAGAAGATCAAAAAATGCATGATTACTCTGTAACAGACATTAACTTGATTTCTACTTTGAATGAGGATTAAAAAATCATTAATACTGTTTCACAGTTGATTTAAAATGAGTAGTTCACTTCAACATTTAAAATGGTTTGAACTAAACACACTTTGATTATCAAGATATTGTAAAATAGTAATGATAATATAAAAAAGAGAGTGTTCTTTGAATTGATTAGTACAGGACACACTTAGAAAGTCTCTGGATGAGCTTAATTTGTATTTCTGGACTCAAATCAATGAAATAACAGTTCCTGTCCCATGAAGGTCCTCAGGGTTAGGTTTTGACCTGAGGCTTAGTTCACTACAGTTATAACATCAAGATGTTGAGGTTCTGCTTTGCAGTGACAAGGATGGAGAAGATTAGGAATGAGATCATCAGAGGTACAGCACAGGTTGAACAACTGGGAGATAAAGTTAGAGACCAGACTGAGATGGTTTGGACATGTCCAGAGGAGGAACAATAAATAGGTATATTGGCAGTGGTGGACAAAGTACTCAATTCTAGTATTTAAGTCAAAGTATTAATACTCATAGTCAAATCTTACTCAACTACAAGTATAAGTTGCACAGTCAAAAGTTTACCGAAGTTAAAGTACTGAAGTATTTACTTTTGAAAATACTTAAATATTCAAAAATACATGCATTTAAAAATACTCAAGTATTTAAAAGTACAAATGATATTTTCTAATATCAGTACATTGCTGTATTGTTTTGAGTGATTTTACAGAAATGTGGCGACATGTAGAACCACTCTAACACCACATGCCTTAATAAAACCTGGAAACTACAAATAATAACTTCCTGCATTTTACATGTTTGTGGAAAGTCATGGAACTCCTAAAAGTTGATGCACATTTAGTCTTTTCTTCAGCTTCAGTATTCATACACCACATTGTTTGCGTATAAAATTACATATATCGACAGCAACAACTTAACACAGGAAAGGAAACAGTAACACCGATAACTGAAAGTACTGCCATACTTAACATAGAAGCTTACAAAACAATGTAAGTGACTGCACAGATGAATCAGAGTAAAACCTGAATCAACAAGTGGCCGACTGCATTTCAGGAAAGAAAAACAGCAACAGCAGATTACAAAGCTGAGCCAAAAGGAACAAGTAACAAGAAGCTTCATAGAAATGTAGTGGAGTGAAAGTCTCAAGTTCCCAAAAAACACAAATACCCAAGTAAAGTAATGATACTCAGAAAATGTACTTAAGTACAGTACTCAAGTAAATGTACTTTGTTACTGTCCACCACTGGTAGAAGGATGTTATAAATGCAGCTGCCAGGAAAAAGACAAAGAGGAGACATATGGATGCAGTTAGAGATGGAGGTAGTTGGAGTGAGGAAGAGGATGCAGAGGACAGAGATGGAGGAGGATGACTCACTGTGGCGAGGGAAAAGCAAAAATAATAATAAGTCCTTTTTACAAACACTTTTCACAATCAAATCTTACATGTTCTGTGTTAAGAACAAGCTACCTCTGCAATGTCATGAAGAACAGAATTCAACTTGAAATTACAACTTGAACTGCACGACATCGAGACTGCAGAGGGGCTTTTATTGTGAAAGTGCCATTGCATCTGTGGAACTGATTTGTTGGATTTAAGAAGTTACAATGCAGAGATCTGGAGTTTAATTTATTTACTGTATTTAGTTGAAATGTGGACATTATTTGATGTCTAAAGCGAGTTCTCATCTACTAAATGTTCACTTTTAACACGAAGCTGACATGAGAACTGTAGACTGGTAATGGTGGAGTTGAGAATTTAACAAATCAATTGTCTTTTGCAGCATTTATTAAAGGAAAAATAAAGGGATAAAGAAACTGAAATAAAATGTAATGCTGTTTAGAAGATGGACAGAATCAAACCCTGAGTTTCAGTATCAGACAAAACAGAACCCCAGGTTCATGAGCGCGCACGTCATAAAACACACACGTTGACGTGGCTGGACTCACGTCTCCATGATAACCAACAGAAGTCTTAACAGAGTGGGTATGATCTCGTAGTCGAAATAAATCATTCTTATTGTCAGCCATCACAAAAGATTTGAATTCACAAGTTTAAAATATTCTCCTCAATTAACACGAACATGCCAACAGTTTTCTGGAGTCAGTAACAAAGAATCATCTTCGTTTCACAAGACTCTGCCTACAACTTGAAGAAAATGCAGTTTTGTTTGTCTGTACGTGTAATGTGGAAACACCTTAAAAATTAACCCAAATAATACACGTGTGAGTATTTTTAAAGTTTTCTCCCATAACTGGGTGCATTTCAAAATGTGTTAGAAAACAACTGTTTAACAAAAACATTTTGCTATTTTGTACAATAATGTTATAAATCTGTAATAGTTATTAATAAAGTTACAGCATATCAATCTGCAGGAAAAAACCATTAAAACAAATAAAATCAGTTTATTGTGAAACTGTGAGGATCTGGATGAGAGTTGTTTTTGGTGACAGCTGCTGTTCTAAATGTGCTTTATAAATAAAGTTGACTTGCTGTAGCGTCTGTGCAGCACTAACACGACCTCCTGTCTGCAGTTCTGGGTAAGGGTCCATTCAGGCTCTTCACCTTCAGGGACCAGAGGACTCTGCTGTCAGCCAGCAGGTCCAGCGGCTTCGTGTTTCTTCAGCAGGCCAACAGCAGCACTACCACCGCTGCAGGCATCCTCTCACAGTTCATGATGACACCGGGCCTCAGCAGAACTCGGCCACACGGTGAGTTCATTGTAAGTTTTTTAGCATTTTTTTTTAGCATGTCATGGGTTTGGAAGAACTTGAGCTGTCCTGCTAAAAACCAATGAGGGAGAGGGATTAATTTAAAAAGGGTTGAGACATCACATTGTCAATCACTTTTAAAGCATCCTGACATCAAGCCAAACCTGAAACAAGCTGCTGTCACTGATGAAAGCACAGGAGCAGACATTCTGCTGCGCTTTGTTACACTGGAAACACTTTTCTTAGCTTCTGAAAACAAGTATTTGAGGACTGCCTAGAAAGTCAGCCACCTATTATTATCCACATGAAAAGGGTCTTGCTCTTTTATTAACTTTAATATGACTCAAACTGCAATGTGTCCCCCCAAAAAAATTTTAAATCAAAACATCCAGCTTGACTTGTGATGTGTGTCATTACTTTTTTTGTTTTTTCGAGTTACCATGATGATGTATGTTATAAACACAGATGCCATTAGTATCAGTCTCCACACCATCCAGGACATCTTAGGGGCGACTGTGGCTGAGTGGTTAGAGCAGTCGTCCTCCAATGCAAGAGTTGGGGGTTCGAATCCACCAGCAGTCACATGCCGATGTGTCCCTGGGCAAGACACTGAACCCCTCATAGCCTCTGATGTGTGTCCCATCAGTGTATGAATGTGATAAAGCACTGATTAGTCTCTTTAGAATGATTTGTTCAATTAGCTTTGTAGAGATCTAGTAGAGTGCTGTGTGGATGGGTAAATGAGGACACAGATTGTAGTGTAAAGCGCTTTTAATGTCTCAATAAGATAGAAAGCCGCTCTATAAGTACAGTCCATTTACCATTTATCTTCCACAGCCAGTGTTGCCAGATCTCGTGATAGAAACAAGCAACCAGCTCTATGAAAACAAGCCCAAAACGAGCCCAACTGGCAACCCATCACCTTGTGTAAAACAGGCCATTTTTAAACAGTATAAACATTTATTCTGGCATTACACATAAACAACAGCAAAATTATACTAAACACTTTGAATAACATACTTTAAAGCTCTGATAAAAATACATTTTGCATATGTAATTTTTTTCTACATATTTTTAAAAACAAAACATCCTGAAATCTCTGTGTGAGTAGAGCCCCCTAGTGGTCGGCCAGAGTATGAGTGTTTGGGGTGCGCACCCACAGATGTATTTGCATATGTCTATGTGTGCGCCTGTCGCCTCGCCAACTTGGGCGGGAGTGATAAACAGGAAACGGGGGCATGGACGGGACAAACTACCTACTACCACTCGTATTTTGCTTTATTGTGCGGAGCTGGGAGATAATAAACTAGTTTCACTCAGAAAGAAAGTCAAGCCCAAATAAGCAACTTCACGTTCAAAACAAGCCCCCCCCCCCAAAAAAAAAACCCACAACCAGCGACTAACAAGATTTACAAGTGACTTTAGAAAAAACAAACCCAAACTTGCTTATAATAAATGGACTTGTCAACTATGACCACAGCTGATGTATGCGTAAAGCACGCAGCATCATTAAGGACCACACCCACCCAGCACAAGGACTCTTCCATCTACTACCCTCAGGCAGACAATACAGGAGTCTGTCATCGCGTACAAAAAGACTAAAGGCCAGTTATTATCCACAAGCTGTCAGATTACTGAACTCTTGATAATAATAGTGAACAATTGACAATAACAATGCACCAAGCCACATCTGTGATGCCTAATATGTTTATTGCTGCTGCACGACGTGGCTGTATCATGTATTTCACTACCTTACCATCATGATTCTTCTCCATGTTTACTCACTAACTGTGCAATAACCTTATAGCTTGTAGCTTATGTTAATGTGCAACATATATCGTGATTTTAAGCTTATATTACTACCTGTGAAATACTTATTCATACAAATTCATCCTACTTGCACCATTATATTCTACTATGTTGTTGTTTTACTATTTTTTTCCTTTGGACCTTGTAAATATTACATTTCTTTTTCACTTTTTGGTACTTTATTTTGTACCATTATTGCATGCTTTAATATGTCTTGTTTATTTGTTTTGTTTTTAGTGAGACAGATTGGTTCTTCTCGTCCTGAACATTTCATTGTGTTGTTGACCTTGTATTAACGTGCACATATGACAAATAAACAACAGAACATTTTTCTCATTGAAAAACACAGACAGAACTCTGAATAGCTTCTAGCCGCCACAGTGAGGTCACATGACCTAAAGTGAAGAGGTCTCTGAACAAAACTCCGATTAACTTTTGGAGCCATTTTGGATCAAGATGGCTACCACAGCTACTTCAGAAAACTCAAAATTGACTAACTCATTGACTTTTTTGCCATACTGAGCCATACACAGTCACAACAGCCTGACACCTCCGCCTCCTCTGCTTATCAGCTTGGTCGCACACTGCTGTGAGATGGCTTTCCTTCTTTCAATAATTTCTCACAATTCAGCTGATGTAGTTGTGTTGGTCAACAGCACAGCCAAGCTGATCTCATAGGTGTTCAGCGACGTTGAGGTCAGGACTGAAGGCAGGCCATTCCATCCTTCTGAAGGTTGTCTCTGATGAGCCTCGCTCTGTGGGGAAAAGCTTTGTCACCTAGAAGGAAAGAGTTTGGAACCGCTATGAAGATATAGGATTGATAAACTATTTTTCATTCAGTTCAACAGAGGTTGTCTCAGGGCACTGAACAGAAACATTCACATACATAAAAAAGCCAATTAGTAAAGTTCTCTATCTAAGGAAGCAGCAAACTCATTGAATCTTCACTTCGTAGCAGTCTATCATCCACAAGCACAAAGGAGACGGTGGAAAGGAAAAACTCACTTTTAACAGGAAGAAACCTCCAGCAGAACCAGGCTCAGGATGAGCAGCCATCTCCTTCACCTGGCTGGGTTTGAGAGGACAGAAAGGAGAAACGAACACAGAATGACAGGTCCAGATATAGGTGTAAGTGAACTTCCTATAGGAGGAAAGACTAAAAAAACACATTAAGATAAAAATAAATACAAACAGGTAGAGTAGAGTAAGTAAAGACAGCAGTAGAGTGAGGAAATGTGGTCAGTTTGTCCTCCAGCAGTCTAAGCCTATAGAAGCATAACTAAGGGATAATTCAGGAAACCCAAGCCAACCCTAACTATAGGATTTATCAAAAAGGAAAGTCTTCAGTCCAGTCTTAAAACTGGACAATGTGTCAGCCTCACAGACAGAAACTGGAAGTTAGTTCCACAAGAGAGGAGTCTGATAACTCAACGATCTGCCTCCCATTCTGCTTTTGTAAATTCTAGGAACCACAAGTAAACCTGCAGTCAGAGAGCAAAGTGCTCTGTTAGGAAAATATGGAACAATAAGATCTGTATGCTGGTGAAGATTCTCAGTCATCCAGGACGTGATGAATTCAAAAAGCGTTCAATACAAAAACAACTGGACTTTATTTGTAACAGAAGACGTTTCGGCTGGACCGAGAACACAGATGGTTTGAGAGGGGGGTGAAGGAAGCAATTTATGTAAAAAGAGAAAAGCCGTCTCTTAACAGAGGAGGAGGCCTCAGATTTCCTCTTTCAAAAACATATAATGCAACTTTAAAACAGATTCCCAGCCGGTTTTCACACCTGATGGGAACAGAGGAGCCTCGACTGTGAATTAGAGGAACAAAAGACCTACTGTTTAGGTTTTTAGGCGTGAACTGCCAATCTACATATATGTGTGTGTGTGTCTTATGTGTGTGTGTGTCTTATCTCACTCAGCCTTATAACCTGTATCTCTCACTCTCTGCTCTTTGAATTGAGAAAGCTCCTCGGATGAGGAGCGAAACGTCTTCTGTTACAAATAAAGTCAAGTTGTTTTTGTATTGAACGCTTTTTGAATAAGATCTGTAGTATAAGATGGAGCTAGGTTGTTGAGGGCTTTGTATCAGGGATCTGAGGTTCCAAACGCTTCAAACAAGAGTCAGTAGCAAAATAAGCTGTTTGACAAGTGCTTCATAACAAAACAGCAGCTAAAAGATAACATTATACATTTTGTTCATTTTATCTCATAGCCACATATTTTTTTTTCATTATAGCTTTTGTTCTTTATATTTTAGCTTTTATCTTCTGTTCTAACATTTTGACTAAATACAAATTTCCTTACTTCTTGCGCTATGTTTAGATTATATTGAGAATACTGGGCAGGAACTGTAAACTGAGGGATCATAGTTATTAATATTATGTTGTTAAAAGATAAATTAAACTTTAACGAACTGGACAGTGGCTGCTTTTGTCAAAAACTGACAGAAAATTTAATTTAATTTTTTCAGATTCATCACGAGTTTCCTTCGAGGCTGCTGAAAGACCAAACTACTTCCTGCACGTGAGCCCCAGCGGCCAGGTGAGGCTCGCCAAGTGGGAGGAAAGCGAGGCATTCTGGGATGGCGCCACCTTTGTAATTCACAGGAACACCTGGATCCTGGGCTATGACTCGCTCGAGTCACATTCAAAGCCTGGCTTCTTCCTGCACGCTACGCTGCCCCAACTCCACCTCCTCAAATTCAGACACAGCTACAGCTTCCGCAGGGCGTCGCTGTTCAGACTGACAGGTCAGCAGAACACAACACGCCGTGCATTGTGACAAAGTTCAGTTTTACTACAGCAGTATCAAAAGTGGAGGCATTTGAACTGAGAAATATCATGCACTGTAATAAATAATCACAATATGTTTTCTGTCACAATGCAAATAAGCCTTGACAATTAAAATTTAAATGTCTTTTTTATACAACTTGTGCTTCATACCCAGTTCGGGTTCGGGGCGTGCGGGGGGTCCATGGGTCCTCTCACAGAAAATTTTGAATAACAGATGCCATTTTGGTGTATTTTAACAGGTTGTTATACATCAACATTTACCTATATTTGTTTACACTTAATAAAATTACTATTTTGGAGAGGAACAGCAGGTTGTGTGTGAATAGAGCAGCTACGATTCTGTCGGGTGAATAAATGATCTTTTCTGTTTCGGGGTCTGAGAGGAGGAGAGAGGGGGTGTTTTTCAGTGCGCAGCCCCGCTGAATAGGAACAATATTTGGAGAGGAGGAGGAGACAAGGACTCCGTGCAGAATCGTTGTGCATAATGTGACAATCTGCCCCCCCCCCACACACACACACAGACAAACACCCACACTTAGGGGCTCCTCGAAGTAGCACATAGCTGGTTCGCCCCGCGTGCTGTGGCTGAAACATCCACTCCACAGACTGGGTCTACCGGACTAAGGGCAACGTTTCCTCTCGTTGTATTTTTTAAATCAATAATCAAAATAAAAATGTGCGATGACTTTGGACTTTTAGGAACGGAGTTGGTGGATCCGAACAAAGAATTGTCGGAAAAGAACAGGTCAAAATGAGAGATCTAAAAATGTTACATCTGGTCCTCTGGACATTCAAAAAACAAAACAAAGCAAAACAAACAAAAAAATGTAGAAACGTTTCATCTTCCATCCGAAAGACTTCCTCACTCTGAGGTGCTGTATTCAGCTCAGTCTTATAAACAGCACCTTCTTAGAGTGGATCAACCAGTTTGCTGCTGACAACAAAAACCAGCTGCTCACGTGATCAAGAAGGACCATCAGCCTAACGATGGATCATTAGCACACTGATGGCTGTTTACTATTCACAGGGGACTGAGTGATGCTAGCAATAACAGCATTGTAAGAGGAGGACAGTTGAACACAGAGGCCTCCACCCCTGTTTAATGATGGACGATTTATTTTCACAAAGATGGCCTCCTTTACTCCTCTCTCAAACCATTGTTCCTCTCTATCCAGGATGTGAACATCTTCATCCCTGAAAGAGTGATCGCTGGCCTGTAGATGAGTGTAGACCACAGAATCCTGGCCTGATGTTGTTGCTCTTCTGTGCTGGGCCATCCTTTTGGCCAGTGGCTGTTTAGTTTCCCTGATGTAAGACTGATCACAGCCCTCCTGACACTGAACAGCATACACAGTATTACTCTGTTTGTGCCGGGGGACTGGATCTTTGGGATGAATCAGTCTTTGCCGTAATATATTTTGGGGTTTAAAAGCCACTGGGACGTTATGTTTAGAAAATAAACGTCTCAGTTTCTCTGATACTCCCTCAACATATGGAATGACCACTCGACTGTGTTCAGGTGAAAAGGATTCTGGGTCTGACTCAGCAGAAGTCTCCTCTTCTCTGCTGAGTCTGGCCTTTTAATGGACAGTTAGAGATGTTGTGAGAGTCCTGGCCACAGTAAAAACACAGCCAGTTCCAACGTCTCCTCTTACGCCCTTCTGGAGTAAGACAGCTGCGTCCCATCTGCATGGGCTCCTCTCATGGTGGTGTCTCTTGTGGATGTGGTGGAGAGGGGGATCCCAGGGGAAGCCGTCTGGGCGCCTCTCTGGGTTCCTCAAGGGGTCTTGAGGCTCTGCTGGATCTCTCAGCTCATTCTCAAGATCTCTCCATCAAGCGCAGATCCACCCTTGTCGCCATATCCTCCAGGACCTGCAGTGAGTCCGGGTATCGCTTGGTTGCCAGGTTGTTCTTCAGGTCTCTCTTGTAAATGAGTCCTCGAGGTTCAATGGGATTACCTGTCTAAATAAAGGTTGAATGCATGTTCTTGATCTCCTCGTTAAGCCCTCGGTAGAAAGCATCAGTTAGTGCCTCTTCATTCCATTTACTACCAGCAGCCATAGCATGAAAATCTATGATATACTCAGTTACTCGTCGTTTTCCCTGCTTCACTGAAAACTGTCTATGAGCAGCCTCACTTTCTGGGAGGATGGGGTCAAAAACCCTGTACAGCTCTTTAGAAAACTCATGAAACGAGTAGCAGTACCTTGAATCCTTTTGCCATTCTGACGTCCCCCAAGACTTAGCTTTTCCAGACAGGAGGGAAATGGTATACGCTACCTTAGCACATTCAGAGGGGAAGGATGAGGGCTGGAGCTGAAAACGAATTTTACATTGTGTTAAGAACGGGCGGCACTGGTCCGGTGCCCCTGAAAACAGTTCTGGTGGAGCCAACCGTGGTTCCTGGAGTGGGTTACTCGTGGTTCCAGCATATGCAGGACTGCCGGCATGGTTTGAGTCCTGAGAGTTAGAGTGAGGAATTAGAGTCTTAAGCATGTTCATGATCTCATTCATGCTGGTCTCTAATTTACCAATGGCACCTTCCACACCAGAGCGCCATTCTGAATCCGGAGCAGGATCCATGTTTGGCCAGATCAATCTGTCAGAGATCTGATGGTAGAGGATCCTACACACAGACTCAGAAAGGTCTTTAAAAATGTTTATGGAGTAAATAAACAGCTTCTGGTGTCTCAGATCCAGTGGTAGGACCTGTATCTAAAATGATAGAGAGGGGAAAGGTTAGTGTTTGGCAGAATAACAAGTAGTTATCTGAATACAGATGGTCTGGTGAAACACTAACCTTTCTTGTTGTAACGGGGTGCTCCAGCAGATATGCTGAACTGCAGAGACCAAGGGAAGTCCAGAGACGTAGTTGAGAATGAGCAGGGTTCATACACGGGATCTGAAAAGGAGACAGTACCGATAGGGAGAGGCAAGGGCAAAAGCCAAAAACAGGCGTAGGTCATCAACAAGGTCAGAAGGCTGAAGCACAAAAGGAACAGGCAAAAAGCATGGTCGAGGGAAACGTGGATCAAGATTAAAGAGCTGTGAACAAAGAGAGTACGCTGGATAACTGTGGCTGGAAGCAAGCAGTTGATCTGGCAATGTAGTGGAGAAAGCA